TTGCTTGTCCTCAGTGCACAGAAATTAGATCAATCTGATACTATATATATATATATATTAGAAATGATTTGGAAAATATTTGAACACCTTGTCTTATAATATTTTATTCATCATGTTAAAATAAAACGTTCCATAATAAATTTTTTCCCCTTTTCTTTCCTTTTTTCAATGTTTCCAATTTTTTGGAAAAAACCAAAACGACTTCAGGAAAAAAACTGTTTCCCCCCCCGAATTTTTCCGGGCCTTCACATCTCTACTCTGGCGTGGCCTCGACATGAACCCACACAGCTGCTTTATACTTGAGAAGAAGAGTTGGCTTCATACCCCGCCCTTCACTACCCAAAGGAGTCTCGGAGCAGCTTCCAATCGCCTTCCCTTCCTCTCCCCACGACGGGCACCTTGTGAGGTAGGTGGGGTTGAGAGCGCTCTGAGAGAGCTGTGCCTGACCAAAGGTCACCCAGCTGGCTCCATGTGGAGGAGGAGTGGGGGAATCAAACCCAGATGATGAGAGCCTGCCGCTCTTCTTAACCCGTACCCCACGCCGGCTCACAGACTGTCAGGTCAGACTACTGACTGGTCTCTCAAAGTCAGACTCTTCTGCTCTCGCTGGCAGTGGCTCTGCAGGTACTCAAGCAGAGGTCTTTCACACTCACCTTATCCTTTGAACTGGAAATGCGGGAATTGAACTTGGGACCTTCTATACGCAAAGCAGATGCTCTGCTGCTGAGCCACAGCCACCCCGCACGGTACAACCCAGCCTAATACAGCATTGACTTAAAAAGGCTGCATATGGGGCTGACCTGCTTCTCCCTCCAGACGCTATAAGCAGCAAATACCTTAAGCAATGCCTTCCTACAGCACAGCACTTGTAGCAGCTGCACTTTCTAGAACAGTGATGGCGAACCTTTTAGAGACCGAGTGCCCAAACTGCGACCCAAAACCCACTTATTTATCGCAACGTGCCAACACGGCAATTCAACCTGAATACTGAGGTTTTAGTTTAGAAAAAAACCACTCATACATTAACTTAAGATGATCCAAACAAAGTAAGGAAAGCAATCCCAAATGCTTTCATTTACTTAAAATTATTTGGCAGAGAATTCGGCACTTTTATGATGGTCTGGGCCTGGCTGGGGCGATGGCACACGTGCCCACGGAGAGGGCTCTGAGTGCCACCTCTGGCACCCGTGCCATAGGTTCGCCACCACTGTTCTAGAAGCTAGAAAGAGTCTTCTTTGTATTTTAAAGCCCGCTGTTTTTTAACCTGTTCTCTCATTCCCATGATGATTTTCCCCTGGGAAGGGAGGCAAGGCACAATGAAGCGGCTAGTGAGTCCCACATACCATACATCTTCCCCTCATCTGACAGAATGATCTTGCGTCTCCCGCAAGGTGGGTAGATTGCCAGCGCCTCTTGGAAACTCTGTTCAATGTCAGGGCTCCAGACCCCTTCCGCATCGTTGTCCAGACCCTTCTCACCAGCATCCCCCATCTCCTGGGAGGGGCTGGCCCTCGCACTGGTCTCTATGGTGTCAGGCAGGAAGAATACCTGAAAGACAGCAAGCAGAGGACGCACCACAGTTGGCATTTGGGGATACAGAGTCGACCCCAATGAGTTGTCGAAACAAGGGCTTTGCACTTTTGAAGAAGAAGAAGAAGAGGAGGAGATTGGATTTATACCCTGCCCTTCACTACCCAAAGGTGTCTCAGAGCGGCTTACAAACTCCTTTCCCTTCCCCTCCTCACAACAGACACCCTGTGAGGTAGGTGGGGCTGAGAGAGCTCTTGACAGAAACTGCTGTTTTTTCAAGAACAGCTCTTATCAGAACTACGGCTTGCCCAAGGTCATCCAGCCAGATGCAAGTGGAGGAGTAGGGAATCAAACCCGGTTCTCCCAGATTAGAGTCCGCGCACTTAACCACTACACCAAACTGGCTCTCAGCATGATTCTTTTTTTAACCTTGTGGGAGGCAGTTCATCTGGCTACCCATACTGACGATTTCTATTGTTTTCGTGAGTGAATCCTTGGCAGGGCACGGCTGCGTCCTACAGACCTCTGCCTTCCTATGTTACTTGTTCATCAAACAGTATAAAAATCTTCTGGCTGGGTCTGGCCAAAAGCCCATCTAGTATAACATTCTCTCTGCAAGACTGGCCTAGCAAAATTCACAGCCAGAGCACAAAGGAACAAACATCCCCTGTTTGCGTAAATAAACAAAATAATTGCATGTTCACAAGTAAAAAAAAAGTTTTCCACAGGCAAGCACAGATATTACAGCCAGAATCCAAAGGACTGCAGAACCAGTTTCTATAAACCGAAGGGGGTTTTAAACTTGTTTTCCCTTTAACAGATCCACCCCCCCTTTTTTTAACCTGAGGAGACTCATAAACAGTGTGAAGAAGTACGGGTAACTGGTGAGGAGTCAGAACTTCCACACTGCTTGAGGAAGTCCCTTGAATCAGGGTGATATAAATGTATCCTAGCAACAGTCTTGTGAGGTGGGTTAGGCGTTGTGACTAGCACAAGGGGTTAGCAAGATTCATGGCTGAGCAGGGATTTGAACTCAGGCCCCTTCTACCCAGCACTTTGTTCGCTGTGAAAAATAACACACTGGCTGCCTTTGTGAGGGCCTCGGTTGGCAACTAAATTTTAACAGGGATCATATTGTCGAAGGCCCAGTGATGTTGGCTTCACCCACTCTCTCCCTTAGCTGAGAGAAAGGGGGCTCTTTAATACATCCTCCGGGCCTCCTTGTAGGAAAAGGGCCCTTTAACCTTTGCATCTCCCATGTGGCTAGCACAGGGCCCTCTCAAAACGCACTTCAGCTGCACATTCCTCTCTGCCTTTCTGGTCCTTCACAAACACACCACTGAGAAGCTGATGTGTATGAGGGAAGAACGCTGAACAGCCCTTGCTACAGCTCACATGCAGGGTGGGGAGAAGGTTCAAGAACCCCCTCCTTATGTAGCACTTGGAAAGAAAGTCAACCAAGCGTACTGTTTATTTGAAACGTTTATATCCTGCCGCTCAATAACTTATCTCCAAGGCGGTTTGCACAATGTTAAAGCGACAAAAACAGAACAGTCACAAAGAAACAGCTACAAGCAATGTTCCCTCTAAGCTGAGTTAGTGCGAGCTAGCTCACAACTTTTTAGCCTCTGGTTCACACATTTTTGCCTTTGCTCAGGAAGGGATGGCTCCAGAGCAAACTGATTTATGCAGCAGCCAAACTGCTCGCTCACAACTTTCATGCCAGTCGCTCACAAAGTAGAACTTTTGCTCACAGGACTCCACAGCTTAGAGGGAGCTCTGGCTACAAGACCATGAAAACAATGGCCAGATTAACAGAAAGCCACAGGGCTGATTAAACAGATGTTTCTTAACTGCCTTCCAAAAAACTGCCCAACCGGGAGCCAAACAGGCTTCCTGGAGGAGGGCACTGCGCAGTCTTGACACCACCACCAAGGAGACCCTGTCGTGCATTTCCACCTGACAGAAAGGTGAAACCAGCACTGTGAATTTGTGCCTAGATGCTAATATATTTATGAAGCTTTTAGAAAGTTCATGAAACTAATATCTAACAAAGAACAGTTCCACCACTTTCACCCAAGCAAGACCATCACCAAGGAAAGATCAACCTGGTCCAGTTATATATAAATCCCACCCAACTGATCATTCTCCTTTACCTTTCCTCTCAACCCCACTTTTTGTATGCCTTAGACTGTAGGACTGAGGGCAATCTTTAGAATCACCAACCTCTGGACAGGGAGGATGCCAGCCTCCAGGCAGGACCTGGGGAATCCCCTGGAATTACAAATCATCTCCAGACTACACAGATCAGTTCCCCTGGAGAAAATGGATGCTCTTAGGAGGTTGGACTCCATGTCATTGTACCCCACTGAGGTCCCTGTCCTCCACAGGCTCCATCCCCCAAACTCCAGGAGTTCCCCAACCTGGACCTGGCAAACCTACAGCCTCTCATCCCCCACCAGTGGCCAGGGAGGACCTAGCAACCTCAGCAGGAACCGAATTTCTCCCTGAAGTTCCACTGATCTCCAGACTATCTAGAGATTAGTTCCCTTAGAGAAAATGGCAGCTTTGGAGAGAGGACGCTATATGACCTTGCATCCCAGCTGAGCTCTCTCACCTCCCTAAACTTCACCCTCCTTGGAAACCACCTCCAGGAGTATCCCAAGCCAGCACAGTCCTGTGTCTTTCTTGACTGACCTATGCCACTTTGTGAGACAACGACCAGGAAAATGGGATTTAAAAAACAATGGGGGTAGCCACCGAAGATGGAAGGTGCCTCAGATAGCAACTGAGTAGCTTTTCTCTCTAATAAATGGAAACTTCTGAGAACTTGTCAAAGGCAACTTCATGTAGAATGATTTATTAGGTCGGGTTGCCAGCTCCAGGTTGGGATTGGGAAACACCTGGAGATTTGGGGCTGGAGCCTGAGAAAGGCAGGGTTTGAGGGAGGGACATCAATGGGGTATAACACCACAGAGTCCCCCCTCCAAAGCGGCCATTTTCTCCAGGTGAGCTGATCTGTCGCCTGGAGATCCGTTGTAATTCCTGCAGATCTCCAGCCACTACCTGGAGGCTGGCAACCCTATTTTATTAGCCTAGTCCAGCTGTTACTGGGAAGCGTATGATGGTGGCCCCACTGTGGTGGGGTCCTCAGTATCAACAAACTATGCTGGGGTCAAAAGCTCCTGAACGCACTAGGCCAGTGATGGCGAACCTTTTAGAGACCGAGTGCCCAAACTGCGACCCAAAACCCACTTATTTATCGCAAAGTGCCAACACGGCAATTTAACCTGACTACTGAGGTTTTACTTTAGAAAAAACAACTCAAACATTAACTTAATATGATCTTTCATTTACTTAAAATTATTTGACAGAGAATTCAACACTTTAATGATGGTCTGGGCCTGGCTGGGGCGACGGCATGCGTGCCCACAGAGAGGGCTCTGAGTGCCACCTCTGGCACCCGTGCCATAGGTTCGCCACCACTGCACTAGGCCTTACAGGCCTCCTTTCAGCTACTCCTGGAGTAGGCCAAATACAGTCACAAGTGTATAACAACTGAAGGGGAGGGGCAGGGTTGAAACAGAGTTTTGTGAAGAACAAAAAGCTGTTTTTGGAATGGGCGCACACTAATTAAGTCTCTTCCAGAGAAACCAGATTTTTTTGGGGGGGGGGGAGAAGAGCAGGTGAGACTCTCTCCCTTTCCCCTTCACTGCTCCCTGACAAGCCAAACTCAGCTGAATGTCTGGTTACTCCAGTTCAAATAAGGGGGGGAGGGGAGGCCGTGCAGAAGCTAGACAAAGAAACCGTCCAGCATGGATTACATCTCCTGTTCAAGACAGGAAGGAGGTTGGTTTTTTAATCTGTGATCAGATTTCTCTCCCGCCTCCTCCAGAATACTAGGCCTTCGCTTCCCTCTCCTGTTCCCCTGCAGGTCTCCCAACAGCTGCGAACTTTCCAGACAGATAAAACGTTTTATGAAGCAAAGCTTCTCTAGCATAAGATTGATCATAACCACCAACTTCCTCAGCACTGGGCCAAGGACATTGCACTTACAGAAGTTAACTGAATTCTTTCCCCCTGGCTTTCTTCTTCATTGGTTATCGACTTTAAGTGCCCTGACGAGGTTATTTTGAAAACTGCTCTTTATAAAATCCACAAAGCCTTTCATGAAGTCTCTGTGTCCTAGGGGTTTTTTCACATTTCATCTGCTGCAATTCCAAAAACCGCTCACATATATGTTAGAAATTATTACGTCTTCCCCACCTTTTCCTTAAGGAATTCAGGGTGGCATACATGGTTCACCTCATTCCCTTTATTCTCACAACAACCTTGTGAGGTAGGTTACGTTGAGTGTGTGGGAAAGACTAGCCCAAGGGCATCCAGTAAGCTTCCATGAATGAGGCATTTGAACCCAGGACTCCCTACATCTCTAATCTGACAGCCAAACCATTAACAGAATGATTTGGAGCAAAAGCAGTAGAGTTTTTTCAGCCCTTATTTTGCCAAAGGAAACTCAAAGTTATCTGGTAAGCATTTTTATCAGTGATAGCATGTAAGACATGAAGGGTTTGTGGTTTGGAAGAAAAACTTTCTAAGCCGTGATAATGATCAGACCTAATTTATAAAACCATCCGATGGGTTTTGCCACAGAAATCAGGCACATTCCATTTCATGATCTAAATCAATTCTAGCATCTCACTTTGACCATGTTGTACTGGCATCTCTGTACACCAAAACCCTGAAACAATGACAGGAGAGAGGAGATCAGATACCCCATATTACAAAGTAGAGGAAAGATGATTAGATGAAAATGCTACTGAGCAGGGCTCTTTTTATAGAAAAAGCCCAGCAGGAACTCATTAGCATAATAGGCCACACCCAACAGCAGGAACTCATTAGCATATTGGGCCACACCCCTGACAGCACAGCTCATTAGCACATTAGGCCGCACCCCCACGTTACCAGAAGTGTGGTTATCCAGCCACACTCACCTTTTGCTTGTTATTCTGTTTACCTTGTTTGTTGTCAAAACCCAGGGCTTTTTTGTAGCAGGAACTCCTTTGCATGTTAGGCCACACACCCCTAATGTAGCCAATCCTAATGGGTTTCTGCTGTTGGGTGTGGCCTATTATGCTAATGAGTTCCTGCTGGGCGTGGCCAACTTGGGAGCCAGCTGGAACTCCGTTCCTGCCCAAAAATAGCCCTGCTACTGAGAATGTTAAGAACTGGTATTTATGTTCATTTTATTATTACTGGAGCCATATGCATTTTTTTTGTCAATACGTGCTCCCAAAACACTGTAACATGGCCTTGTAAACAGCCACTTGCCTAGTCACCTTCAGCAAGAAAACAATAATCTCCAGGGAACCAAGCCAAACAAACAAGCAAACATGAAAATGGAGATCAAGTAACAAGTCTACCATATACTGGAACTCCCTGTCCTTTGAGCTACTGATGTCTCCCAAATGATTTTAATGGGCATGCTGTCTAATAAACAATGAAGGTTGACTCTTCAGTGGACTTATTTACTATATGAACTAATCTATATATCTAATAGTGAAGTGCCCCCGTCTGTGCGGATATCTATATCTGCACTTGGGGGGCACTTGGGGGGCAGGGAGTTCCTGAAGGACCTGCAAAATTTAATTTTCAGGAGGGGGGGGGGAATCAAAGGTAGGTAGATTTACATTTGGTTTTTAACTCTAAAAAGCGAGACATGCTGTAGGGCCTCTTGCTGCAGACACCAGTCCAAATCTGAAATCCCACAAGCTGTAGTGTCTTGATTTGCTTCTCATACTCCTTTCATTTTTATTTTGTAAAAGTCAAGAACTATAGGGGGATGTTAAAGAAGAGCCATCCTGCTCTACTTTCCGAAAAAGCAGTTAAGGGCCCCAGCTTCATCCTGTAATTTGAGCAATTCATGCATGCATGTGAAAGGTCATGTTTGTTTTTGGAACAAGTCACATCAAGGCCTTGTGCAAATGGAGGCTCTTGCAGCCAAGTGTCTCTCCTCCTTTCTCTGGCTCATACACACACCCCTTCCTTCCAGCTCTCTCTTGCCTGCAGATAACACAGACGGGAAGGACCAGAACACCAGAGCAAGTTCGCAAGAGTTTAACTCCCGCAATGGCTGCTCACCCAATCCCATCCGCTATTCAATCACAGCTCCGCACACGCACTTAATACGGAAAGGCTTTTGCCATTTCCAGGAGGGGAGGGGGGCTCCTGAAGTTTCCTTTCCCAGAAAGCTAGCTTTTATCAAGATTTTTTTTTTTTTTAGTTTTTGGACTTATAAATGTAATAAAGGACCAGTGATGGAAGGAGGGGGAAGAGAAATAAACCTAATAGATCAGATATGTTCTACGTTTGCCAGATGGTTCTTATTTAAGACTCTGAGTCTCCATACCAGAACAGTTGCCACCAAGTGGTTGCAGCAAAAGGGCTCCAGTTGTGGTGTGCCCCTCCCAAGAAGACACAACAGGCGAAGTTTCTTCTCAGTAACGGGCGCAGAGAACCAACGTTTCCAAACGTCTCACTGGAGCTTTGCCTAAACCGGGCCTGTGCAGTTCTAGGTGCTCCGACCTGGTATTGTACAAACCCTTCCTTTGTTGTTTCTGGTTAACACCGTGGCGATTTCCGAGCAATGCTTATCCGTACGCATCTATACGTAAAACCGGCTTTGGGGGAGGGGGCCTGCTCGCCTGTGCCTTCTGCGTACTTACTCAGAAGTAAGCCCCACTGCGAAAAGGGGCCTCCAAGTCCACCTAGAAAGTGCAGAAAGGGAGGCCGATGGCGGAGAGGAGAGGGGGAAAGCAGGCAGGCCCAACGAAAGAGAGAGCGCCCATCCGACCCGGGGCTGATGGAAGAAAGTTCAGCGCACGCAACTTCGCAGTAAGCCAGCAAACTTCTCCACCTCGGGAAAGGTGAAACGGTGGGCAAACCCACCCGCCCCGTCCTCCATGGAAACTCCCTAACGCGCCAAGGCACACGGATAAGCTTTGCTGGGAAATGTCGCCAAATCGCCCTTGCCAACGCGGTGGCTCGCAGGCTCCATGGGAAGCCGCTCTTGCTATAACAGGCAAAGGGTTAGCAGTCCGTTTTCGCTTCCCAAGACAAAAGTCCCGAGCCGAGCCCTTTAAAAGGTGCGACACCCCCGGCCTTCGCTTTGCATACGTTAAGAACAGAAACACGCATAGCCGTTGACCATTCACGTGCAAAGCCAGCCGTGAGAAATCAACCCCCGCCCCTTAGTTTGGAAAGGTCTTTGCAACGCGCACCTTCAAAGATAAGATCGAGAAAAATCCTTCAGGCGTCGGACTTTTGATTTTAAAAATCCCTGCGGCCGACACACGCCCCCTCCCATCGGCCACCCCCTTTTAAAAGCAACACTTTATCCAGTTATCTAAACTTTCCCACGAGGGGAAGGGGGGGGGGGGATAAGTTAGCAAAAGGTCTCTCCTCCTCTGCCTCCAAATCCAGTCGAACCACAGTTCCCTCGCTAGGCGCACATTTTTAACGGAAATCTTTCCTTCCAGAACTTGCTCCCAAAGGAAGTTGCGATGCAGCAGAAACCAAACGGGATAAGGAAAAAAAGAAACAAAAACGGATACTTACCTACAGAAGATACCCCAAGCGCTTAGCTTTGATTGGATGGATGGAGGAGAAACTTTCTCTGAACTTTGCTTTCTTTAAATAAATAATAAAAAAAAAAAGTGGAGGAGGGGAAGCCGGGGGAGAAAGGGAAAAGACCGAAAGTTTCGTTCCCTCACCTTTAGGGTTAATTTGGGCTTATCCAAGGAGATCCTGCCCGCTCCTTGGGGTCGGAATGGGAAGGGCTGGAGAATTGGAACGTGCTGCTGTGAGCGAAGCGGCAACAGGCCTGCGTGGTATTTTGGAAAGGTGACAGTTTTTCTCAGGAATCTCTGGAATGAGGCAGAGGAATTAAATTAGGCAGCAGTGAGTCAGTTTCAGGGGAGGAGGCGGAGGGAAGAGGCGGAGCCCAGGGAGCCGAGGGGAGGAGCTTGGAGCACACAGGCTGCCCCGGCAGGAAAAGGTTATCCAGGAAAGGAAGCCCGAGAGAGGAGAAACTGGAAACCTTGGAGGGGTTGCCTAGCGGGGCGCCTGGAGGCAGAAATCAATCTCACTGAGCTCAGATCGCTTACTTCCAAGTAAACCGGGGCTGCCCCTGATAAATAAGTACCTTTGCGAAGTTCAGCTAATGCTGGGTTCCTTCAGAGGCCTCCAATGTTATACCCAGATGGAAGTAAACGAAACAATGGCGCATTGAGAGAGACAGTTTGGTGTGGGGTGGTTAAGTGCGAGGACTCTAATCTGGGAGACCCGGGTTTGATTCCCCACTCCTCCACTTGCACCTGCTGATGTGGCCTTGGGTCAGTCACAAGCTCTGGCACAGCTGTCCTTGAAAAAGAGCAGTTTGTGTCAGAGCTCTCTCAGCCCCACCCACCTCGCAGGGTGTCTGTTGTGGGGAGGGGAAGGGAAAGGAGTTTGTAAGCTGCTCTGAGACTCCAAGTGAAGGGCGGGATATAAATCCAATCTCCTCTTCTTCATTTAGGCATTGGGCTTCCATTATTTCCAATGGGCCTTCAAGTCCCTCCCTTTGTTTCCAATGGGCAGTCCTGTTCTTCCTTTTACTACATCCCCGAGTGTGGGGTGCTCAGATGAGCGAAGGCAGGCCAGGCTGCTACTGGGCCACCCTGAGCAAAGGAAGAAAGCATTCAGGAGGGGATTTCTTCTGAAAAGGGGGACGGGGTGGTCATGACAGGGGAAAGTGCAGTGAATCAGTGAAAAGGAATACTATTCGTTTTAGGCCAGGCTGGCTGCCACGTTTTGTTTCGATTGAATGTCTTGCTGCAAAATGTGTGGAACTGACTGGTTCAGGCAGGAATTCTTTTGAAGGGGACAGAGTGGTAGTAAAAAGGGGAGACAGAAAAATAGAATTGTTCAACAGGGCCCTTTTAATAAAAGGAATCAGATTGTAGCTTTGATGTCTGAAAAAAATGAGACCGTTCTCCCTCCTTGAATTGCTTATTGGATGGATTACCCTGCTCTTATCTCATTGGTCTCTGATCTTGTAATCCAGCTGTATTGCAGTTTGTTTTATCTCTTATAGCTGTCTTTGTTGCATTGTTTTCTACTTCTGTCATCTGCTCTGAGTCTCCGTGGGACAGGCAGAGTAGAAATGAAGTGAATAAATGATTTTTAAAAATTCCAGGAGGGAAAGCTGTGTCAGTCTGTGGAAGCCAAAACAGCAGCATTGTGTCACCAGCATGCTTATTATGTTTTTTGTGAGCTGGTGCCCCAAAGACTCTTGGTTACCCTAAATAATTAAAAGAGCCCCAATAATCCTTCCTTGAGGTGACTGTCTTGTGCATTTTTCACTGGTCTGGGCCTGGTCTTCTTATAGTCAGATCTTGTTCTGGGACAGTAATCGGCTGCTGCCGTGCATTGGATATGACTGGGTCATTCCATCACTCCAAATGCAGAGAGCTGGCAAAATTACACACGGATGGAGTGGGCCTGTTGTGTCTCTGCATGAGTAACAGCTTTGAGCTTGCCTCCTCCCAATCAGGAGCCATGTTCCCAGTGATGAGTCACACAGAAAGACAGGGTGTGGGCTCCTCTGAAGTATCTTTACTCTTATTTGTACATGATTTTGGGCAGGGCTTTGTTTGTAGAAAAAGCCCAGCAGGAACTCATTAGCATAACAGGCCACACCCAACAGCTGAAACTCATTAGCATATTAGGCCACACCCTGCCACCACAGCTCATTAGCATATTAGGCCGCAGCCCTGTGTTGCCAAAAGTGTCGTCATCCAGCCACACCCACCTTTTGCTCCTTATTCTGTTTACCTTGTTTGTTGTCAAAACCCAGGGCCTTTTTTTGTAGCAGGGACTCCTTTGCATGTTAGGCCACACACCCCTACTGTAGCCAATCCTAATGAGTTTCTGCTGTTGGGTGTGGCCTATTATGCTAATGAGTTCCTGCTGGCTGTGGCCAACGCAGGAGCCAGCCGGAACTCCATTCCTGTGCATCCCTGCCCAAAAATAGCCCTGATTTTGGGCAATGAGAGTAATACGGACCACTGATTTTAATTCAGAAAACTGCCACTAGACCACTTCCATTTACGGAACCCTGGTATTTATGGATTGGCTCCTAAAAGTCCCACCACCTTTTCTTCTGGTAGGGAAAGCCAGTAGAGAAAGACATCTCGTAGTGCAGAGGTGCCTAACCTTTTTGAGCCTACAGGCACGTTTGGAATTCTGACATTGGCAGGGTGGGTGCAGCAACAAAACGGCTGCTGCTGGAAGCAAAGCCAGCCACAATAATCATTAATAATTATCATAGGGCATTGGGTGTAGTATAGCCAAGAGATCCAAAGATTGTCTGGCAGCCTTAAGTGCTAGCTCTTTGGTGGCGAGCTAGACTTATTTTTTGGGCTGAGAGAGCTCTGAAAGAGCTGTGACTGACCCAAGGTCACCCAGCTGGCTTCATGGTGAGGAGTGGGGAATCGAATTCAGTTCTCCAGATGAGACTCCACCGCTCTTAATCACTACACCACAGCTAGTAACACATATAGGTCCTTGTGCTGTGGTGGCAGCAGTTGCCAAAGCAACATTTTAAAAAATCTGCACAGCCAAATCAGAAGTCTTGCAGGGCAAAAACCTGGCTGGTCCCACCCACTTCCTAAAAACTATTGGTGGGCACCAGAAAAGGTGTTGGACAATAGTACCAGGGCTATTTTTGGGCAGGAACACACAGGAACGGAGTTCTGGCTGGTTTCCAAGTTGGCCACGCCCAGCAGGAACTCATTAGCATAATAGGCCACACCCAACAGCAGAAACTCATTAAGATTGGCTACATTAGGGGTGTGTGGCCTAACATGCAAAGGAGTTCCTGCTACAAAAAAGCCCTGGGTTTGGACAACAAACAAAGTAAACAGAATAAGAAGCAAAAGGTGGGTGTGGCTGGATGAGCACACTTCTGGTAACATAGGGGTGTGTCCTAATATGCAAATGAGCTGTGCTATCAGTGGTGTGGCCTAATATGCTAATAAGTTCCTGCTGTTGGGTGTGGCCTATTATGCTAATGAGTTCCTGCTGGGCTTTTTCTACAAAAAAAGCCCTGGACACCACGATGGGCCACCCCTGCAGTAGTGGATTAAAGACTGCTGTGAGAACTTTTTTCTCCGTTGAAGGAAGACTTGGCATAAGGAAGTTATAGATCCAGCTTGGTGTAAGGAGGCTGACACAGGTCCTCAGCAAAGTAAGGTGCCGAAGAAGTTTCCAGTTCTCATTATTTGAGACAATAAAACACAAGTGATCAGTAACATTATACGACTGATAAATATTATCAGTAAAGGAACCCAAACCCAGCAACGTTAAAATACTTTGCAAAGACCCGTAAGAAAACCCAGTAACAAAAGGGCCTTTTTAAAAAACAGCACATTTGTTTTCAGCATACAAGGAATTTCACATAGATTATTTTAGTCATCCTTCCAGCAGCCCTGAGAGGTAGGGCAGCATGATTTATTAACCCACTTTTTAGTCTTGCTTCCCCCTGCCTCGCTTTTAGAGTAGCCAGCAGACCTGAAGAAAAAGTTCCTTCTCTTTAAGAGAAGCTTAATGATATGGAAATGGGCAGCTGAAACTTTTAATGGCCTGGAGGCAAATAACATCCCCTGGTAAATAATATCCCAGTTTAAGAGCCAGTTCGGTGTAGTGGTTAAGAACACGGACTCTAATCTGCGAGAACCAGGTTTAAGAACATAAGAGAAGCCAGTGTTGGATTCAGGCCAATGGCCCATCCAGCTCAACACTCTGTCACATAGTGGCCAAAAATACCAGGTGCCATCAGGAGGTCCAGCAGTGGGGCCAGGACACTAGAAGCCCTCCCACTGTTTGATTCCCCACTCCTCCACGTGCAGCTGCTGGTGTGACCTTGGGTCAGTCACAAGTTCTCTCAGAGCTGTTCTCTTTTTTTTGACTTTTATATGTATACATTATATATATAATTTTATATACATACATACACCTTTATTGGCACATATATATTTAAATTATTTTAAAAATATATTTAAACTATATTTAAATGTAAATTATATATATATATTTAAATAAATTTTATTGGCAATTTCATAAAGTGATCAAGAAATCCAACAGGAAAGTCGACATACAAGCAAAGCAATTACCAACATTAACATCAAGCAACAACGGTAAAAGAGCTGAGTAGTTGTAGTACAATGTGAGTATCAGTTGTACAATAATAATTGATATTTAGCATTGCTAAGAGATTCCCAATCAAACTTGTCTATATTTATTTTGTCCAGTAAAGGATACCAAGCATGGAGTGGGCTGTTCTCTTAAGGGCGGTTCTTGAGAGAGCTCTCAGCCCCACCTACCTCACAGATGTCTGTTGTGGGGAGGGGAAGGGAAAGGAGATTGTAAACTGCTCTTGAGTCTCCTTCTGGTAGTGAAGGGCGGGGTATAAATCCAGTCTCTTCTCTATGTCTTCTAAACTTGTGTTAAAGGGACAAGACATTTTTTCTCCAGGTCTGTTGGCAACCCTCTCAGAGAAGCTGATATGGTTAGAGATCTTGTGTAGTGTGGTGAGCTGTGGAGCAGGAGATCCTTGGTTAGAATCCACTCTCTTTTAGTCTTCCCCCATCTCCAATGTGGGGATGCTGACCCCCAGTGTAAAGATTACAAGGATTAGAATAAAGGGATGTATATGAAATGCTTTGAGGATCTGGGAGTACTATGCAAACGCCAGTAGGATTCTTGTTGTTCCTTCCTCTGTTTCTCTAATATTTACTTGCAGACATTAAGCCAATTCTGCCTGTGGCTTGGTTGCAGTCAATGTTCCCTCTAAACTTTGGAGTCTTGTGAGCAAAAATTCTACTTTGTGAGCTACTGGCATTA